GAAAGTCAGCAGCCTGTAATTCATTGGTTGTCTTTTGTGTGCTGTGTTACATATTCGTTTTCGTTCATTATTATTTTGTATATAAATTAGGCCGTAAGTTTTCTCGTTTGAATTGTTTTACATTTGTCATTTCGGGGCCTTTTATCGCTGACTATGCGGTATGGGCTTTGCACATTGTTGAAAGCCGTAAGGCGACCTACATGTATAGTTGTTAATTTCTGTGTCATTTGGTCTCTTGTGGAAAGTTGTCTCATTGGCAATCATACCACATCTTCTTTTTTATATTAACCAATTTCGATCACAAATAATGTTTAGAAAGGGGTACGTTTTGACAATAATCTACCGAGACAGTAGTGGGGTCTTCGATTAAAATTAAGTAACGTCAGTTTAGGCCGTTCTTAACGTCATTGGCACTACATTTGACATTTACGACAATTATTTTTTTGAAGTTGAATAACCGATAGATATTTTTTGACATTTACAATTCATCTGGTATTTAGGTCATTAAGACTCAAAAACTAAGTGTGTTTCTCAACATTCAACGCTTAATTATAAAAGTTAGGCTGGATGTAGTAGTAAATATATAAAAATGGCAAAGGATACCAAAGAGGTATTCATACTCAGAAAATAAACAGACAACGCCATGGCTAAAAAGAAAAATACAAACAGACTAACAACAGTATACACAATACAACATAGAAAACCAAAGACTGTGCAACACGGACCACACCAAAAAGAAACATGGTTGATCTAAGGTCCTCAGGAAGGGAAAGAAGACTCTGCTTCAATGTTGCACCTGTCGTGTTGCTCATGTTAGTAAACACCCGGTGAAAAGTAGAATTCAGTAGGTCACATTCAGGGAAAAGGGGACGGGATGGTTATTACGATTACGACAATTGGAACATATTCGTTGTCATCTCTGAAACAGATATTCCATAACGGTCAACCAACTCGTGATGGGGTCCGTAAAATTAACAAAGGGACGATGTAAACTTCACCACTTGGAACTCTTGGTTTAATAGCTTCCTTGTGAGAATCAAACCTCTATCAAGGAAATCATGATAGGACATTCTAAAATGTCTATGTACTATTATTCGTTTTCTAATAGTGTTGCCGGTTTGTCCAATATAATTTTTTTGACAACCACTGCAAGTGATGATGCATAGAAGATTTTCCGATGCACATGTAAAACTGTTCTTGATTTTAAAAATGTGTCCTGATTTAAAAACGAATTCTGTTCCTTCGGATAAGTATAAACAAGATTCACAATTTGGTCGTCCAAATTTTTGTACCTTTGGTTGACTATTTTCAGTTTAGAATGTTGCGCGGGTCAACACTTGTTGTAACGGTTGCCGTTTGCTTTTAATTACTTTGTGAGAATTGAATAATTGAAACATCCTCTGGTCATGCTGTAAAAATGGTAAATTGTCATGAATAGTGTTGAAAGCTTCATTATTTCTGGGGTAGTTAGTAGAAATGTACGGTAAAACGTTTTCTTTTGAATGTGATTTAGTTTTCCGAAGTTCCTGTAAGCTTAAAGATTTAGCTCTAGCTATACCGTCATCAATTATTCTCTTTGGATATTTTCGGTCCAAGAGCGTGTATCTTAATTTATTTAATCTTGTATCCCTTAAATCTGGATTTGAAATGATAGTACATATGCGTTTAGCTAGGTTATATGGTATATTGACTCTAGTATGTTTTGGATGACATGATGTAAAAAGCAGATATTGTTTGGAATTAGTCGGTTTATAGAAAATATCGGTTTCTATGTTGTTTCCGTTCTTTATGATAAGAATGTCTAAAAACGGCAATTGGTTACTATTGTATTCCATAGTAAATTGAATGTTCTCGTTTATTTCATTGAGTAAATCTTTGAATTCCATTAACATATCTTAGCTGTTATTCCATAAAAAAAACAGTCATCTAAGTATCTCTTCCAATTTTCCATCAAAAATTTAAAAAATAAATGTCCAAATCTGGATCTCGAGGTATTCCATTACTAGATTGGCATATGTAGGTGCAACTTTTGTACCCATTGCAGTTCCTGATTTTTGTCTATACAATTTGCTGTCGAACATGAAATAATTGTTCTGAGGAATAAACCGAAGTTCTTCAATTATAATTTCCTTTTCTATTCGGTTAGGTAGTTAGGTAGTTCGGTTTTTTATTTTTCTATCCAATAACTAATTGCTTCTATTCCGTACTTATGTGGAAAATTAGTGTAGAGACTGACAACATCAAATGAAACTAGTATAGTGTTCTCTTCTACGTTGTTAGGTAGATGGTTCAACATATCTGAGTCGTCTCTTATAAAATTTGAAATTTGAAATGTGTTTCAAAAAAGGTTTTAGAAGAATATCTAAAAAATTACTCAGACTGTGCGTTTCACATGCAGGACCAGCAACTATTGGTTGCATTTTAAGATCGTTTGGTGCACATATATTTATACAAGAACTTTTGGAAAGGTTGCATGCTTCTTTAATCTTTTGACTTTTGTGAATTTTGGGGTGTCCGTAGATCTGACTGGTTTTACATTTGAAATTTGTACAAGAAACGTAGTTGGATTATGACGTTAATAGTCATCTATACAAACCAAACATGAATATACCAGAACATAAACTAAGAATATTTGATTAACAACTTTTGAACCAAATATCCATAACTTAATTTCAGACCTAACCGTGCTTTGTCGGCTGGAGCAGATTTTTTTCTGGTGCTGGAAGAAAGACTTGTGTCCTGCAGTTGACCATTTTACTATAATAGATACAAAATAGGTACCCTGTATCCTGTTTCTATTGGAAGGGAACGAATACATTTAAATCACTGTTTACGTTGCAGTTTACTTTGCGGTCCCCGTTAAAATATTGTTGATTTTATTGATAAGTAGCGTTGGTATAATAAAGGTCCATGTTTTTAGGTGTTAATTTAAAATTGTTGGCTTAAATATTAGTTTGTACATTGTAGGAAAATTTAACACCTATTTGGACTCGTGACAAAAAAAAAAAAAAGAGAGCTCGGCGAATATCGTATTTTTCTCGCATTTAGATTTAAGCCTCAAGCCTTGTACAAATAAATGTTACTTATTCCGACAATGAACGCATTCTATATTTATAATTTACAATGACGACTGTTAAAGGAGGGAGGTCACATTATTGTTAGACTGTGTGAGCGGCAAGCTTCACTACTTGTCCAAATATTTAATACGCGCGAATTGTTAAAAATTCATTGAACAGGAAATACAGTATTTTGTGACACCAAATTACCTTTTTAGCAATTATTACGTGGTCGGTTTTCTAAATTTAGAAACAATCACTTAAACCTACCGATAAATTATAAATATTATATCACATATGTTATACCTTAGCATAATAGCTTTTGCAAAAACACTATTTTTTATTAAAATCCATGTATTTCAACGTTTTAATCCCTCGAACCTTACCCTCTTGGTCCATTGCACTTTAGCGTGATATACCATCGTAAGTTTCCCTATTATGAACAAAATAAAAGAGGGACGAAAGATACCAGAGGGACAGTCAAACTCATAGATCGAAAACAAACTGACAACGCCATAAAATACCCCTAATGTCCTTAATTTTGATTTATTATTACAAAAAAGAAGGTCCGTGGTCCTCAGTTTTAAAATTGAAATTTGAAATCACATTGACCGAGAAAGTCTTTTACTAAGTTTACGAATTATCTATCGTCGAAAAAATTAGACACCGCAGCTTATTGAATGTAGTGGATGTAAGCAATTATAAGTAGGCAACCATACGGCCTTTGACAATGACAAAAATCCATAACGTATAGTCGGTTATAAAAGGCCCCGATATTGTAACATTATTTTCTCAACCCATCCCCCCTTTTTCCCTACCTTATACTCTTATTCTCTGTTCTATCAATATAAAGACTTGAGAAGAAAAGCTTTACCTCAAAATGAATGAAATATCAAAGGACAACAAAAGAGTACAAATTTCGCTATCCCTTCGAAATTGTAATTTGATCTAGAAAAAACAACATGTTCTACTTTTATCATACATGTGTAGTTTCAGTTTCAACCATGGTTCCAAATTTAGATTTTGCTTTCACAAAAAATTGCGGACGGAACAGAAGACACATGTTTATTTTCTGATCCGTGACTGGCTTAAGAACTGAGATTTTGATGACATAGATTTTACTTACTCTGAGATAAATGTCATTGTGCTCAATTCTTAGTTTCTGTGAAATGTTTTGTGGATGGAATCAGATGTTTTGTTTTTTTTTGCTGTTAGCTTTCTTCTTCGACTTACATGTTATTGTTATAAATGATCATAAATGTTGCACTACTGCCACTAGTGGTAAAAAACTCCGTAGATTGCGTAGTAACTTTGTACTTTTCACATAAATATGAATTATTCTAAAATTTTCAATTGCATAAAAAAAGTGACATGCCAACATCTTTCTAGTTCAACACACAAATTCACATGCAATATAGATCTACCGGTACTTATTCGTTACCTTCAATTTTACGCTTTTCATTCAAAACTGTGATTTTTCAAATAATATTATGGCGTAAATTCTTATCTGATTTTAACGAGTTTGATACGACTAGAAGCAGAATTGTCTCTGGTTTATTTGTTTATTGCGTTATAACTTTGTTGTTCAGGCGTTTTTACTTTCTGTTGAAATAAACACGACTCACGAGTGTACCTGCTCCTCCTGTGTATAGAAAACAAAGACAGTGGTAAAAGAGTCAGACTAACTCACAATAGTATAATCAGATTTCTGATTGGAGTCATTCTGATAATTTTTTGAAGTTTTGAGATAGCACAGAAATACTTGTTTTGGTTCATTTTAGACCGCACGAATTCATTTCTCTTTCATGTGCCCATTTCCCGTTCTTGGAGTATGGGAGATAACTTGCGTAACTAACGACGCACGTTTTTTTTTTTTATCTCAAATTCCGCTAGAGGCGTGAAATTACGTATACTTCGCCTTAAAGGGGGTTATTAGAGCCATACCTGTTGATTTACATTTCAGTTCGTCAGTATATTCACTTTCCGTTTGAAATCCATTTGACGGGTTACGATCTGATTTATTTTTACTTCCAGATCTTGCAGAGGTCGCCATGCGAATGGTATTGTATGTAGATGGGTGCAAATTAGATATATTCGAATAAATCTCGTCTGAAAAAAAAAAAAAAATACAGACTATCTTGGAAGTCAGCAATTTTGTCTGGTGTTTCGGTCCTCTTTTCAGTGCCAATTGTAAAGTACATGGCTCTGTTCTTTCTGAAATAAACTATGTTTTGTTATTTCATCATTATGTTATAAGTAGACATGCATTACGTTGAACGACTTTAGTTTTGTTTACTTTTTAAAATCACACTCAATTTGACATAGCATGTGTTACAAACCGTTACTCATATTATGATATTTCATTATATCTTAAGGTGGATCTTCGGTATATGTTTAAATATGTTTAAAAAGATTTTTCTTATAATTTGCTAAAATGTAGACTTTACCATGCTTTTTTCAAAAATATAATAAAAACAATGGATCACCGTGCTATTTTCAAGCTACCAGTCGTACAAAATTGCAAAGAGTGTAATTTATTCATGAAAAAACAAGTTGAATAACGAGAAATTTATGAGATAGAATTTTAAAATAAAATAAAATTTGATAAGATGCGTTTCACGATATGCTTTAAGAAAATGAAAATAGAAAATGGTGTCACCGAACTTGTTTTTGCTACAAGTAAAACATTAAATTTTCTTTATCATTACTTTCTAACTACCGTCATTATGTTATTGTTCTATTATATGTCATTATGTTATTGTTCTATTATAAATTTGAAAATACTTTGAACGACAAACGACAAATTTATTTTACTCGCGTAGTGGTATTTACCATATGTGGATTCTTAAGGGTTCTGAAGAACTTCTGGACAATTATAAATCTCGGTCTATTTCTGAAATTAATCCTAACATAACTTTTGATTTTTTAACCCTGTATACCAACATTCCCCATGTGAAATTATAAAATTGTTTTGAATAGACATTGAATGACAAACTTTTTTCTTATGTGACGTTTACATTTTCTGACGTCAGACACGCGAAGCAATGAATGTGGGTCTTAATTTGATAGATGCTTTTGTGCTTTTTTTGTAAATAATTGTTTGTTTTGATATTGTAACACAGTGATGACTGCTGTACCCATATTTTGACTATTTTATTTATAATGTCTGTTTTGTTCACGCATCGTTGTAAATATAACGAAATTTGATAAGACTGTCGTACAAGTGAGAGGTTTAGCGCTATAAAACCAGGTTCAATCCACCATTTTCTACATTTGAAAATGCCTGTACCAAGTCAGGAATATGACAGTTGTTGTCCATTCGTTTGATGTGTTTTGTCATTTGATTTTGCCATGTGATTAGGGACTTTCCGATTGAATTTTCCTCGGAGTTCAGTATTTTTGTGATTTTACTTTTTTCTAAACATTTACTATTAGAGTTATCTCTACTTAAATGGCTAAGTTGAAAAATTTACTCATACATCGTTGGCACTAAACTCATGTAATTTTCGGGATAAGTTACATCAGTTTGTTCATGCTCGAGTAAATAGACGACTTATTAGGTCACAACTCCTCATTCATAGATATTTGGTTTATAAATCAACAAGTTTTGTTTGGACATGTTGATCATATTAAGACTATAGTTAAATGAGTTAACATCTTAAGGAATTTTTGAAAAGATGTTCTATGACTTAAAACATTCATGTACTAGTTAATTCACGTTTCCTTAAATTCATATATGTAATTATTATATAGCAACATCAACATTCAATGTTCAATTCGGGAGCTTGCAATGATTTATGATTCAAAAGAAGTCACTTAGAAAACAAAATTGTTCCCCATTTTAGACTATCAATATATATATATCAAAATTGGCGAAAATATTTTGCCTGGAAATTGAAGTGTTGACGCCTGGAGTCTGAACAGCCGGGCAGCATTTATTTTATATAAGCCGGGTTTTGCTATGTCACACTTCTGCTAACCATACACCGAATACCCAATGCATATTGAAAGTAAAACTATATCATCACATCTTTTCAGTACATAGAGTGATTTGATGATGAATATTTGTACAGAAGGAGGAACTTTGACTACACTAAACAAATCTCAGTTTTATTCGACAAAGAAATTACTTACTAGTTCTTATTAGTAGCTCGTCTTCCTCTACATCTGCATCTGAAGATTTATTTTGACACTGTTGTGTATTAAGATACAGATAAAAGAAAGTTATACCATAAAGCATCAAACACATATTTCATTAAGTAAAAAGACCTGCTTTAACATGTATGCAAAAAATTAATTCGAATCTGTTTTGATATATTGAATGTCTGGTGATACAAAATTTATTCTTAAAGTAAGTTTTACAACAAAACGAAACAAATACAATAACTTTTGCAATTTCACTCTAACTATAACAGTTTTCAACATAATTTTTTTTAAAAACAAGAAAGGCAATTGCTCATATTAGAAGTCAATGATTATTTTCAGTCACATATACATGTTTATAGATCATTTTTGTGGCGTACAATTTGTGTGTATTTCTTATAGTTTCATGATTAGAGACAAAGACGCTACATTATATCGTAAATCGTTATTTAAGTACAACATCATTAATAAGGACAAATTAAGTAACAATAAATTGTTTGTAGTTTGAATGAAGGTGATCTTTGCTTCTTAACATTTTACACTGACTGATTTTTCTATCTTTTATGGTTAACCATATGTATGACAAATGTCGATTCCGAGTCATTTGAAACTTCTTGTCACATTGTTAGTTTTGGATATCTTGTTTTTCTGATTAATTCTCTGTTGAGATTCCGGCAGTTTGTTATAATCTTCTTGCTTATAAATGAAATGCTAATACTGGTCAAAGATCTAAAGTATTTATTTAAGGGATGTTTGTATTTATGCATGTCTTTCATTGCTGATTCTTCATGTTCACACTTGTAATAATAGTTTTCATGTTAAAAGGCTACAACGCTAAAACTGGTCTATTCCTCCTGAAAATAGAAGAATGCGTTGGAGGACCCGAAAGTCACCGCCCAAGCTTGAAAATAATACGGTAACCTTTTTTTTGAGAGCATATGATGTAATTGCTAGTTTCTTTAGAGTTCCATTTGTAATTTTTGCTGTTTGTTTTTTATTTTGTTTTTATTTCTTATGTAATACCACCAGTTTTGTCCAGTGAATTTCTCTGTTCTTGAAAAATGCTTTGATTCTTTAACTTCTAATATCTTTGTTAGCTTTATTTGTTTATTTTTTAAGCTAAGCAGTTTGAACTGTGTCTGCAAGTTTTGGTTCGCTGCATTGTGTCTGAGTTTAATAAAGTTTTCATGAGGCAAACTTACGTTAGAGCACGGAAACATACAAATTTGATTCTTATAAGTCATAAAGGTGTATAACTTTAGAATGATAGATCACTTACTGCCAAAATGTTTACTTTGTCTGTGAGGTTTGTTTTTTAGCATTGTGTATGAGTGTCATTAAAAGAGGGGCGAAAGATACCAGAGGGACAGTCAAACTCATAGATCGAAAATAAACTGACAACGCCATGGGTAAAAAAGAAAAAGACAAACTGACAATTAATAGTACAAAAGACACAACATAGAAAACTAAAGACTAAGCAACACGAACCCCACCAAAAACTGGGGGTGATCTCAGGTGCTCCAGAAGAGTAAGCAGATCCTGCTTTACATGTGACACCCGTCATTAAATTTGAATGATGAAAACGTAATTTAGAGTCCGGAAACGAAAATGGGACGGTACGTGTTTTTTTCCATTTATTTATGTCAAATTCGAGAGGGCCAACATTCACCCTCAATTTTCTCGAAATAGATTACGGTGATCTCAGTTTTATTTCATGGTTTCTTTCCAACTTGCCATGCACACTTAAAAACTATAAAAATCACCAATAATGTGAAACTGTATCAATGCCTTTTATGTCTAGTGGCACGGGCATACAAAGTAATCTGATAACTTTGGTACAGTAGATCTCTATATTCCTTTTTCTTTTAATCCCGTAGAGTTTTTCTATGGTTTATGATTTTCAAAATTTGACAATAAAATGTATTTGAATTTTATCTCCATTTTCTATTTTAAATATGGACCGATAAAAAGGGTACTAGCTAGTCCTAAGCATCCCTTAAAGTTTGTTCTAAAGTTATTCATTTGGTTCGGATATCTTTGATCAAGTTTCTTTCGGTCTACGGCGGTTATCGAGTGTTACATGTACCAAAAGCTTATATCGCACTAAAAATTAGAGGAGCGAAAAAGGCAGCAACTAATTTATATGTGCTGTATAAGAAATTGTAACAGAGTATTTATATACTTACCTTGCAAATTACCATATTTACCTTATACATTTAGTTATATTATACTTACATTGCCTCTTAAAATTTTAATCATAAAGCTATATATTTATGGATGTGTTTATAATCTGAAACACCTCTATCTGACATAAAACCTCCATCCCTCAATTGTGTTTTGTTCAAATAAGTATAGATAGTAGTACCATTTAAAACCTGTATCGTATTAAATATCTCAATACCTTCAATACTTTCAATAGTGTTTCTGTGCCTTTTTTGTCTTTGTTTAGAAAAATAGATAATGACAAACACAATTGTCACTGCTACTGGAAGACCAACTCCAAGTATAATACCAGCACTGAAATCAATTAAATTTGAGGTTACAAAATCTTTGCAATGAAACACAATATTACGAGTCTGTATAAGTTTCTTGGTACTTGCAATTATCTAGTGACAATTATCTAGTGAACAAATTAAGTTAAATTCATGAGAATTTATCTTAATCTGAAAACTGACCATTTGAAATATTTATCAATTTGAGGAATTCCATCATACAAAAGTAAATAGTGGGACTAAAAAAATATATTCAAGTTACAAAGCATATTCAAAAGTAAAATAATAAAAAATACCGAATTCCAAGGAAAATGCAAAACGGAAAGTCCCGTATCAAATGGCAAAATCAAACGCTCAAACATATCAAACGAATGGAAAGCAACTTACATATTTCTGACTTGGTTAATACATTTCCTTGTGTTGAAAATGGTGGATTAACCTGGTTTAATTGTTAGCTAAACCTCTCACTTGTCGCATAAAATTCCACTTTTATGACAAAAATGTATGAGCAAAACAATTATACATAATAAGTAAAAATGTCAAACATGATAGGGAATCAATTAACGGTAACAGCATATAGACATTTTTATCATTAATATATAACAGTGACGCAGAAAGGCTAAAATAGTTAAACACTCACAAGTGCTTTTACAGCTACAAAAAGGTGATTGATGCTGTCAGATATGTTGTGTTTTGCTGATATTTTTTTTTGACCTTTCTGTCTCACTAAAAAAATCCTACTGGTTAATATTAAAAGTCTGTATAGGATTCTCGGTACTTTTTTCAGTCTTTAATATAAGTTCATGAGGATTCATCTAAATCTAAAAACTGACAAACTGAAATATCCAGCAATTTAAAGAATTCCGTCTTACCTAAGCAAATAGTCGGACTGAAAAAAATATACTCAAGTAACAAGGCATATTAAACATTCAATTCAATTCAAAATGTAAAGTCCCTTGGTACAGGAATTTCTGTATGTAGATAATGACGGATAAAACCGGGTTTTATAGCTAGCTAAACCCATTACAGTTGGATAGAATTCCATTATATTGAGAAGAATGTGTGAGCAAAACAGACATATTAGGTAGAATGTTAAGACACAGTAGTCAACATTGTGTTATAAACAGTATAAAAGAGAGTCCTGACATTGAAAGATCTAAATAGAATCGTATGTTAAAAGTCTTAGAGATCTAGGTCCTACTACAGGTATTAAATGAACTTTATCAATATTTGGTCTTGTGACATATTGTAAAAGTTCGACGAACACTGTAAGAAGAACAAGTATGCTTGAAATTGCCCTATGAGATAATTACAGATGTCATACTGGAACATGACGAAAAAAGTCGGGTTTATCACAGAAGCATGAAACCAAAACACATATTCAGAATCTCCTATTAATCCATACATAAATAGACCTATTTCATTAAGTGAATAAGAAATCAAAATAATCACGAAGTGAAACCTGCTAGACGAACAAGTATCATATATATGATCCTTTGCGGCAATTATAGGTAGGACGGAATTCTTTAAAATTTTTAGCTATTTTGATCTGAGCGCCACTGATGAGTCTTATGAAGACAAAATGCACGTCTGGCGTATTAAAAGCCTGGTATCTTTGATAACTATAGACAACTTGACGCAAATCTCATATTGACTGAGAATCTGGTGATATCACGAAAACTTTATTACACCTATCCATGTAAATGAAGTCAAGCTCAGATAAACTTTTTCAGACAAGCTTGTACACATACATTCATTCTGTACACAGACAAAAGATACAACTATGATAAAGCCATTTTTGTTGCCCATACAATCCGAAAAAATAATAGAAAATATTATATTTTTTTAAATTAAATTCTTCAGAATGGTCCCATGATATTAGTTTGTCAGGTATAAGAATTTAAATTTAGATATTGTGTCACAATAGTTGCTTATATGCTTCAAATATCTTACTTTTAATAAAACTGCAAGATGTCTTATATTTATTGAAAGATTTTTTTTAGCTAAGTAAGATATATATCCTTAGGTAAGGCCTAACTCATTTTTTTTTTGTCAAACCTATGTGTAAAATACGATTGAATCATTGCTTAACCCTATTAGAACGAGCTGTCAAAATAATCTGCCATAAAACTACTCTAAATTATATTATGTTTATGACTTCACAGTGTTTGCATAACTGAAATTTTTATACTAAACAGTCCAAATTACAGCAAAGCAAAACAATTGAAGAACTAATACTTGTGTAATTTTAGGGGATTGATGATAATTATTATCATATATTCCATTATAATATGTATGATTGCTATTTTACGGGAATTTATCCGCTGATTTTTCATAAATATAAAAAAAAAGATAAGACTGTTGAATAATGTTTTTGCTGTAAATAATTCTTAATTGGTTTGTGTAAAAGAAAAGCTATTTGTTTAAGAAACAGGAAGAGAAGATTTGTCAAAATTGCCCTGTGGCATATATAACGTCTGTACCGTTAGAATTCATCAGAGTCACTTCCATAGTGCTTGTGATAAGGTGCATGCACTGAGTTACACTAGGTTGCACTTTGTAAACATAGACAATACAATTTACAATAGAAACTCCTTTTACGGTGAAAACTGTGCAACTTTAACTATGAAGTTTCCTTAAGAATTATATCCTAGACTGGAAAGCTTATATGCACTATTGAACTTCTAAGAGTTCAAGCGTATACTAAAATTCTGTGCTACCACTCCCTTTCCATTTGGGCCTTCCTCAGAATTTAAATATCCACGTATATCTATACTGGTAACATTCCCAAGTTGTGTCTCTACGAGATGATGCTTAAATATCATATCTGGGAACCAGTAGGTGAACAAAACAAAACATCTATGAATATTAAAAAGAGGCGTGGTTTGTGAAAAAGCTGTTTTTACAAAGTGCCACCTATGATAAATGTACACATTATATTTTAAGTGAGATTAATTCACCACCTTGACCTCAAGTATTATTTAGTGTTCACTTGAACTTATTTTGACGTTTAGTGATCGCATTCAATTTAGTGTTTTGTCACTTGACATGCCTTTGGATCTTATATCTACATGTATAACAGTTTATCAAGATGATAAGTAAAAACGATGAAACTCGTGAACTAATGTATTTAAGGGTAATTCTTCTTATAACAAGTCAGTTGTGTGTTTTTGTTGTAGTGCTATATATGTAATTATTGTTTTGCAATTTACAGAAACTGTCGATTTTTTAAATTATGTTTTTAGAGACATATGTATGATTTAACATTATCTACGGATCATTACCCCTATATTGAATCAATTGTTGGTTACAGCGTATAGACTTTTTTGCTTATCATGTATTGGTGACCATTTTTACAGTTGTAAGCTATCATTTATTTATAATAGTGACACAGAAACGCTCAAATAGTTAAACACTCATCATGTTAGATATGTTATTGTTACAAACAGTTGATTGATGTTGTCCATGTTATCAGATATGTTGTGATCTTGCTAATAGTTTTTATTGTTAAACCTTTCCTTCTATCTTGCAATGGTGCATATCGGGTAATGCTCACAAAGTGTCATTGTCCTAGTATAGTAATAGTAAACATTTTGCCTCCCCTAAAGCTTGCATGTTATGTCACACCAAAATGATAGCATAATATGGTCATCTAAACATTATTAAACTCGAATGGGCGAAGACTATTACAATGTCACCATGAAAAACGGCTGGGGACAAAACGAAAAGAATATTAAAAAGATAATTGAGATACATTAACAAGAAATTTATATGTAACACTCAGAAACGTGCCCATCCCCCTAAACGTGTCCGATTCCCCCAAACGTGTCCACATGACGTCACTGAACTGGAAAACATTTCTTAAAATGTAAAAGGGCGCCAAAGTGTGTCATTTGTATGAACGCCCAACATGTCCATTTTTTAATGAACACCCAAACGTGCCTAATCCCCAAAAACTTGTCCATATCAAGCTCTTTTTTTTTCTTTTACCGAACGATCATTCTTGTCCATATTATAAATACTTCCGTTATTTGGTTATTGCTATTTCATTAAAGTATAATCATTTTATTGTTTTATTAAAAAATAGAAGTAAAGTACTTTATGTCTTTTTTAAACCGGCAGTATAACCTGGGTTAAAGTTTGGCGTCCATTCAGCTATGTCGGATGTAAATGTAAGCAGTCAAGCTCAGCTAAATTTCTCTGCAGATCAAAACCTTTCTAACAACTCTTTCAAGGTGCCATCAGTTGTATTTCGGAAGGCAACATTTTTGTCCGGATCATTAATTTTTCTAGTGGCAGTTAAAATTTCCGCAACTTTTATTTAAAACGGCCTCTTTTACATAACGGACATTGAAGTAGTGTCTTAATGGAGTCATTAGAACCTATCTACAGTATTTATTGTTAATATGATGTCTTCAAATAATGCATAAAATATTTGGCACTGGACGTTATGTCTCTTGTTCGTCTGTCTTTAGTGATGCTCGAAACCTAAAATTTATCAAAAAAAGCATGAAAACCAGTTTGTTTCAGAACTGTTGAAAAAAGGGAAGTCAATTCTATTGAAAGCCAGCCGTGCAGATTGATATAAAAAGGCATCATCGGAGTTTATTAGTACAAAATAATTCACTAAGTAAACGATTAATTCAACTGTACTAAAATTATTTGTATGTTCGCTCAAAATATGCATGAAAAACTTGCAACTGGACAATAAGTAATTGTATTCAAAGGTTAATTCATATGTTACATATTAAATTTGCAATAATGATAATTTTAACAACCGGCGTTGAACAAACTAATAAATGGTCACTTCATCAACTGTGTCCCCCACCATAGAATTGCCGTAAACGATTGTGACGTTATTGAGGACATACATGTTTTAGCGCTAAAAGACGTGAGACGTTCTTGCGGTTAACATTGGACACGTTTTGGCGAATAACAATTATCGGACACGGTCGGGGGTTATGAAATCGGACAAGTTTGGGCGATATTGAATATTAAGGACACTTTTGGGGGAATAGACACGTTTGAAGGAATCGGACACGTTTGGGGGATGGACATGTTTGGGGATGTTACATATAAACTGCAATAACATGAATATATAGACGAAATTAAATGTAACCTTTAAAATTTTAACAATGATGTATATATAAAATTTAATTTCGAACTTACATTTCTCCATCAGTAAATCTATTGTTACTAGTGGGACGTTTTGGTTGTATAGTAATTTCATCTGGAAAACATTTAGTAAGACAGGTATTTTAGAGTGTGTCTTTCTATGTTGTGATGTTACACTATTGTTTCAGGTAGGGTGGAGGTTGGCACCTATAAAAACGTTTATACCCGCTGCATTAGTTTGCACCTGTTCAAAGTTAGGAACCAGATGTTCAGTGGTTGTCGTTGTTGATGTGGTTCATAAGTTTTTCTCTTTTATCGTATTTTATATAGATTCGACCGTTGGTTTTCCTGTTTGAATGGTTTTACACTAGTCATTTTTGGGGCCCTTTATAGCTGGCACCGTGTTAAAGACCGTACTTTGACCAATAATGGTTTACTTTTACAATTTGTGACTTGGATGGGGATTTGTCTCATTGGTACTCATACCACATCGTCTTATATCTATATAATCATACAAAATGTGGTTTTTATCTTAATATTATGTATCATATTGCTTCTGCCGTGTTCAATAACACATTTTTTCTTATAATTTTAGTCATTGATATTTGTTTGTATATTAAAAAAAAGGAAACAATGTATACTAATTGACTGGGTATGAGTTGAATAGTAAGTTTATTGTTCCCGAGGTGCAACTATTGCCCTGAGGTGTAGACGAGGGCAAAAGTTGTAGACGAGGGGACAATAAACTTACTATTCTACAAATATCCAGTCAGTAAGTGTTTTATTATATCGAAAAAGACAACAGACAATGAATCACGGGGATTAATCAATCATCGTAACACAAAAGCAGAAACCCAACCATACTGTTTAACGTTCACTTCATAAATATTCTAAATTGCTAAAGCTACGTCCTGCACAGACATCAACTCTAGATGCAATAGGAAAAACACAACGTCGTAACTCCCGCGGTATTTTAGTAATCCTCCAATCCCGTAGCTGCATTTGAAATTCCGCTTAATATAATGACGCTTGCGTTCTAATAGTTTCATCAAGGTCCCATAAGTTAGAAACTACAATGTATTGACCGGTCAAACAGTTCAACACTTGCAATTGAAAAAAAAGTCAAGATATTGTGTACTTATTTTATATAAAAAATGATAACTGAGGTATAACAAATTGTAATACAAACGAAAACTAAAGGATAACAAGATGTTAAAGGTTGTTGTTTTTCATATAATCAGTACAAAATGGTCTAAAAGATACGATATCACACGATGCAACTGTGAAACTTTCATAGAATTTTAATGTTGATAAACTGTTAACTTGAATAATCTCTAGTTCTGATGACATTCAAGACAACAAAAAAGAAAACAAATTGGATTTTCATTTGAAAAAAAGTGTTTGTTCAATAGGGACAGAATTTTTGGTTGGCAATATGCTTACTTATTACCAATCAACTATTGATGCATGAAGTCTTGAACATGCATATATCATAGATCTTCACAAAGCTTTGGAGTAAATCGCCTTTGGAGTCATGGTGATATTTAACAAAATGATCAAACTTGATTTGAAATTGAAAAATACAATATTATTGCTTTGCTTTATAAACTATTTGTTTTAGTGACTCACACATTAATTTGTAAGCGGGGTCCTTCCTGATAACGTCAGTTTTCAGGTTCATTTCTTGTTTACAGTAAAACAATGTTCATGTAGTGCATTGCATGCTTATTTGCTTTTGGGCACACATATCTAAAGAAATATCAATTGATTTCAAGTATCTTTAACTTGGTTTTGAGAGAAAAAAAAAATCGTTTGAAATCAAATATATTTATTTTTTCATAAAGACTTATGTGTCGTATTCTTTGGAATATAAGTTGATGTTATCATAGTTTTTTTTAAATCAACCAAAACTAAATGAATTTATCAAAATAACAAACATTTCATAATGAAAGCATTTTATCAAAAGTGTGATTGTAATATGTGCAAGTTTGTTGAAACTCTGTAGCCGTTCTCTAGGATTTTTGTATCAACCAATGTAATAAACAGAAATGGCTAAGTATATATTTTTTTTAAGGGCAACTAAAAAAACCCACTCAAATCAAACATTGAAATATTCTATATAATGATATATGTAACTGTAGTGGAAAACAATTGGCTACCTACAGTTGGACTGTATAAGTCGACCCAATCATGTTAAAACCATGTTGCGCTAAAATCAGACAACACAAGAGAATGCGTCCATAAGACAGCATGTTGTTCTTCTACTGTACTGCAAAATCGAGGGAAAATCCTTCATTTGGTCGATAGTTAACAAACTTACATTACAGTGTTTAAAGTTGATGTGACCAAAGCGTTAACCTTTAACTTACATCAACCGTTTAACCTATAACAGAACGCACAAAAGAACGAACAGGCCGTAAAACCATCATATCATGGGAATGACAAAAAAAAGGCAATTGTTGATTAGGCAGCCTAAACGATTTTAATCCGTATTTCCTTTTATTTATTTCATACATTTTTATCAAACCCATCTTTCCATAGTTTAAGTACTTACCCCTGAAAACATCCTCTTCAAGCAGAAATTTCCTTTCGCCTAATGTCACGCCATACAAACAAGAATATGAGACATTTAGATCTTGTTTTGTCAAATTTTGTATAATTAAGGTGTATCCATCTTTTAAAACCTTTCCATCATATTTTCCATTGGGTCGTCCTGTTTTAACATCTATATAGAGTGTGCTTTGAACCGGAGTCCACCTATCCCATCCTGCATCTTTTGGGCAGCAGTATGAAACATTGCAAAATAATGTTACATTTTGTCCATAATCTGTAACCTTTCCAACAACTGTCCATTCCAAAATACCTGTAATTATTTATTTGATTTATTATGTTAGAAGAGGGAAACACGTTCTGTTACATACAATGGATACAGGTTATAATAAGGTCAGAATAAAAAATATATTTTACCGTACTATTTGTAAAAACTAAACTCAAACCCAGTTTTAGTGTAGTTTGTGCTTTTCGTTTGATATTAAATTTCAAGAAACAAATTACTTTTACTTATTGTCAGATATAAAGATTTTCTAGTATATTTAAGATATCTCAAAGCCAATAAATTTTTTTTAATACCACGATCGCATTAGTTATTTTGTGTGTAAAATTGAGTCTAATTGTTTTGTTTATAATTTTTCCCAAACTACTAATTAAATGAAATTGACATCCACTAAGCAGCATCAAGATATAAAAAACTAATGAAACAAATGGTAAACATAAACATGTTTGTTTATTAATGTTAAAGGTAAGTTGAATAACAGTGTCATTTTATGGATAGGTATTTTCCAATCAATGTCAACAATCGTCACTGCTTAAAATAGTTTTAAAAGACAAAAAAAAAAAAAACAAACCCAAAACACCCCTAAATAAACCCAGTGAAATGAAATCTCAGGGAATGAGTTTTATTTGTGAATTTTGATTTGGTGATCCTTTCAATATTTAGTTTTAATCTAGCATCTAGGACAATTTCAAAATAATTGGCTGAAATGCCTATTTTATATGGGTATTTTCTGTTTGTTATCAGTGATTTATATATGTGACCTAGTCTTGGTACATTGATTTTAAAATTATCTCTTCCAAAACGATAAAAATAGTGAGCCTACCAATGTACAAACCTCTTCCATGTATTTTCAAGAGATTGCAGTACTGAGAATTGGTATCTGAAAGGTTGTTTGTTTTTCGGTATTTAACACCGCTTTCAGTTACATTGGCTTCATAAGAGCGGCAGTGTTTTATTATTGGAGGATGTTAGGATACCAAGAAAGTAAAAATAAAAGCACTGTTTTGTCATGTAAGCGCTTTAAATTCCAGCACCTATGTTTCTGCGCATAACAAAAACTCGTCGCTTATTAAATGAGCTTATCTCGTGTTGGTAAAGCTTTGATAAGGCTTTGTACATACTTATAATAGACGAAATTTATTGCATTGCAATGAAAACTAATACTGAACTGTTTAGACAATATTTGTTAGTACAAATGAACTAAACGACAAGCATTTAAATATGAATAAGCACACTCTATGGACAGATACAGTTAACATAATGTCACGAAAGCGTTTTAAGGTAAAAAAAAACCCGCAAAATCATATAAAGGAATACTGACAATTTCTTATTCACCATAAGGAACAATTATTCATTAACTTCATTGTATGTTTCTCAACACAAGGAATAAGGCAATCTACATTTTGTCTGTTTTTATTCCAAACCTTCACTGATTTTTTTTATAAAATTGTACTAATATATAGACTGTTATTTTGTTTATGCAATCTTTAGATAACTAGATTTACTTACCATGAATTATTTGACAGCTAGTAAAAATCATCAATTGTACCAAATACTTCATATCTAAAGCTACAAAAATATGCTGCTATTAACATGTTGTACAATTATAGATTAACTCTATCTGTTTTTCCGAAAATTCATTTCCAATAACATTTGTGTAACCAATGCCGCCCTATATTCCATCACATCGAAATAAGATGGGGTTCAAGGTACTTCCCTTTAAGGTTTCAGATGCGATTTTGGAAACATGGCCAATTAGAATTAAAAATTTTTTTTCTGGCGAAACCAAATAAAAAGTGATTGTATAGGACATAACTCACCCCTCTCAAACCAAGATTGATGATTTTGCCTTGGCATTCAAATTGAGCTATGTTAAAAACACTAAGAGACATATATCATTGTGTGTTTTTGCACATATTCGCGTCATATCCACGACTGTTTAAATGTGTAGTAGAATCATTTCTCAAAATAATTCTGAAATATCCAGGTTATATTTGTAGCCTGAATATAAGCAAATGGTTTAGATCATTGAACGAGTCGACAATTTTTGCACTCTCATATAACACATTCATTTTTCAAACTTTGCCAGAAAAAAAATCGTTTAATACCTGCAACAAATTGCTGAAACATTTGTTTTTTATAAACCTTGAAAATTACATTTTTTAAAAATTTTACTGTATAAAATCTGAAAAACAATTTAGCTTACAGACATAAGAAAAAAACATTTTGGATTTTTTGTTTCTTTTCTATAACATGTTTAAAAATTTCTACAGGTGCTCTTTTCATTATGTTTGTGTGCTTAAGTGATATTCGCATGGCTTGACTACGGTTATCATTATATAGCTCATTAGATACAGCATCCGGGTATCCTTGTAGGTGAAGATTTTCCTTAGCTACGCTGATAACTCTATAACCGAAGTTAACTTATAATTATAGAACCTTGCAATACACATTTCACATGGTGTGAAAAGACAAAAAACAAAACTTTGTAAAAGGTCTACTTAAACTTTTTTCACTTTATCAATAATTGTTATACTGCTTATGAAAATTGATATCTTTATCGAAAATTTAGATAATCTGATGATTTTGGTGAAATTGAAATTATATTTATTTATGCAAAAATATGTGTCATCATACATTTTTTAATACCTTTCAAATTCTTTGGAAGTCTCAGTAAAAGCTAGCCATTTACAAAATTACAAAGTATATGATGCATTAAGTGATTTACAGTGAACTTAAAAAAAAAAATACATTTTCAATTAAAGAGGTATTATATTTTGACCGATAGATTGATTTAATACAGAAATTGAAAAAAAAAAAAAAAAAAAAAAAAAAAAAAAAAAAAAAAAAATACTGAAAGGGTTAAACGTAGGTCTTGTTACCTCAGAATTACTGACTAAACCACGTACCTGCACATATTGATTACCACTGGAAAAGAACTGTATGTAACAAGCGACAAAAGAATGATACCTGTTTTACGACATGTATGTAGTTCCTCTGCAGATTTCCGTGCATCAATTCCCTTATGTACAACACTTATGAGTTATGCTATGTGCACAAACACTTACAAATTCAACCTGTAGGGTAAATTCTCAAACAACATGGTTACATCTGAGATTCCTCATGATTACCACTGATATAATAATCTCAAGTTACATGGAATATGTAGAAGGTGATATGCGGTACTATTGAATCTGGATTCCAGACATGTCAGACACCCTATCACCAATACAATAAACAATAACACGATTGAAGCTTGAGGGTATCAACTAGTTAAAACTTGAACAGTTCTGTGCTTTTTATAGTCTGCATGAGACACATTCTGCTCCGGCAGTCAATCTTTTTGGTTTTCAATGAATAGAATAAACAAATAAGGAGAGGTGGTATGACATTGATATAACTCTCTACATGCTCTACCAGAGACTAAATGACGTACAAGTTAACAACTATAGGGCACCATTTTTACTCTTGTGATGCTCAGCCATGCATGGCGGAAACAAAAGTTTTGTCGATTCTGCTCAAGACCTGTAGGTACATTATGAATATATGTAGATGTAAATGACACAGTCCATGTAGAATGATTCTACAATTTAAAATAAAATAAATATATGTCAATAGTTATTTTCAATTCTTCGTTTATGTGTCAATTCTTTTTCTTTTGGCAGGTAGTTTGTAACTAATAAAATGAACAAAATATATAATAAAGATAAGTTGTTCTATGAGTTCATTTTTTTAAATCTTTTAGTAAAAGGTACGATTTAAAACTGTAAAATGTTTGTTTTTGGGTTAATTTGCAGCGTTTAAAAAATGTTATGTCATAAAATGTTTATGTCCTAATCATTGAATTTAACGATAAGTGATGTCTTCATTTGCGTTTCTGAATTATTTTTATAATATGACAACATCAACCTTCTGTTGTTTAAAATCGTTTCGGTAAGACAAATTTTATAATTTGCACATAGACTCGATTAATTAAAATCAAACAAGATCACTTATAGTTTTGGTTTTCCCTGCATAGATTTGTCAAACAGTCTTATAAAAAAAACTAAATCAATTACATCCTATTGATATTTTATTTTTTAAGGTTATTTTTATTCTGCATTTTGTATTACAAATCTATGAGGGTCTTAATCATGTTGATGGGGGTCCCTCATTTCTGTATTCTTTAATTTTTTAGGTCATTATTCTGTTATCTTTATTTTTGAGTGCCTTATTATTCTCTGTTGTTTATATTAATTTTTTCCGAAACCTTCCAATATTTTATCTAAATGATGTCAATAGTCATTCCAAAACATCTCAGCACACGATAAACGTAGGAGATATTAATGAACTAAACATTACAAAAATTGGGATACCCAAGCAATGATCTCGAATCTGCGATCCTTATGAAATTACTTTCACCTGTTTCTGTTAGGGTCAGAACTTTAATGAGGGACCTTTGGAAAGCTTAATTCGAGTAAGATGAACCACTCCCATAAAACGTACAAAAATAGTGTATGGAATTAGCTTGAAGTTTGGAACTTTCGATACACACAGTGTTATCGAGACATGTTTTTAAACTGAACACAGTGGAAGCTTATCACATATATTCTTTTAACTAATACAGAAAAAGACGAAGACATTTCAACTACAATCGAAATTAGCAATACGCACGTTATTCATCGTATACACCATTTTCTACATAAGAAAATGCCTGTACCAAGTCAGGAATATGACAGTTGTTATCCGTCCGTTTGATGTGTTTGAGTTTTCTGTTTTGCCATTGGTTTAGGGACTTTCCGTTTTGAATTTTCCTCGGAATTCGGTATTTTTGTGAGTTTACTTTATCCCGGAGAATACGATATACAGCAAGTATCAAAGTTACTACGCATTACATCATGGATTTATCGATTCGTATCTAATTGTAATAAAGCACGCTTGGAAAGAACACAGAGCAAATTTTTGCGAGAAGCTGCAAGATACAATAGAAATATTGATCAGCGGTATCCCGGAGAATTTCTGTTGATAAAGAGATCAGGACTTTGAAATCACAATCGAACACACGTTATACCCTAATTCGACTATTACGAATTGATATAGATACCAAAGAAATCATTCGTTGTTGCGTAATAATTCCTAATGCTCTGATTAGTAAAAAATCGAGATTTCCCTGCTTGTTGCTGAATGGTAATAGTTTTATAGAACTACTGATATCGGACGTACATAGGAATTTGAGATATTCCAGGTTTTTAGCTACATTTTACCGAGATTGACCAAGCTTATTGAAAACCAACAATACGGTTGCAACTGCGAACGTTTTTTCGTAAATGTGTTACCTGTCGTAAAGCAACTGGAAGATGATACAGCGCATCAGATCCTCCACCTCTACTAATGACTTGGTAAATGGAAGCACAACTTTTGTCAGTCATTAGAATGTAGGAAAAGTACTTACACTGAATTGTGGTAACGTTGTAGCCATAACAAAGTAGTGTACGACGTTATTGTATAGGTTTCATAACTGCTACGTCTATGAAACTTATTTTGCAATCATAACGCGTTTTACTGACTTCCACAACAAGGGATACACTATAAGTATCGATTTCATCTAAATCAAAGTATGGACACAGGATCTATATTAAATTTAATTGGATTAGAAGAACAAAATGTATCACGTTTGAAAATGAACGCTTGATTAATTTCATGTAATTTGGTGCTATCAAGTCAGTTTCTAGATTTTCTTTCATCATGAACACAGGCATCTAAAATTGGGAAGGCAATGATGTACAGTTATTAAACTAGTGCAGAGATATAAAAACAAAAGGAACATCAAAAGAATAGAAAATATTGTATTTAATCATTATTGCCTAAGAAAATTGGAACCATAATTTTTAACAAAAATTATAATAATCAACGGAGAATTTTAGAACAGTATGTAATTTATTATGTCAGTACTGAGACACCTAATTACTACTGAGTCGACAAGCAGCGGTATCAAACTTGTTCTAAAAAATGAACATACCATGTATAAGTTTCTGATATTTAAAAATTCTGGATTTGTATGCTATCAAGTCCTCAAACCGCTGGTAATTATTAGACAAAGAAGAACTTTAATTTTTTGTAAAGTCTGTTATATTTCTATAGGCACATTGTATTTAATTTTAAGATGTGATATTATATTTTAACAGTTTACCATATTTTATTTTGAAGATTTTTCCACCTTTTTATTTGATAATATATAAAAAAGTAATTCAAGTCATGATAAATGAAAAAAAAAGTAATACAGCCTTTAATTGAATTACAGTTGTAAACTTGTTATCAATTATATCCATTCTAGTCTTTTTGACAAAGCAATTTGTTATGTTAGGTGTAACAAGTTTGACACGAAATTGCTACGTGAACATGCAAATGTGCATTTCTTATTGGTAAGTAATTTTCAAGACAACTATACTTAGTTAATGTTGTACGTCTGAAACACTATTTTAACATGTACTTTAAACAGGAAATGGAGATTAACGACACCAAGACACATGCAATCATTTAATACTGAATTGGTGTCCATATATCAAACTAAATACACTTCCTCCTATACATATTTCAATGGGCGTCTCCGAACGATATCTTGTTTTACATACCACGGTTTTAAACAACTTAGTAGATTGTACATTTAAATAGAGCTATTTATTGCTTTCTTATTTAACCGATATTTTTTTACAAGCTGAAACATATCTTGTTATGTATCCATGTTTAATTGGAAAATGAAGGACATTTTCTAAAATCAAAATATTATATTGTTCTATCGGTATTTTTTTCATTATATGTTAATAATGAAATATTTATGAGTTAAATTGTTTTACACAGATTTTAAAAAGTTATACTAGTTAGTAGGGATCAACTATTAATCCTGATTAAGTACGCAAAGATAACATTTCAAATAGAATTACATCAATCATATACCACTACCATTGACTGGGAATTTTAATCTGTACACATTATCCTTAGCTGTATTATATATTATCACACTCTTGGAGGTATCATGAAAAACAGAGGAAGAAAATATTAAGGGGACAATCTTAAATCATAAGTCAAAGAACAACAGACAAGACAATAGTCGAAAATTACCAAAAAGACAAACAACAGGCCTACAACACATTCATTAAAAACTGAAGACTAAGAATATCAAAGCCCACCAAAAACTGGTGATGATCTTAGGTGCTTCGGAAGCGTAAGCTCCTGCTTAATTAGTTATAGTAGTGACAATTGTCGTGTTTTGCATGGTACCTCTGTCAATGTTGAAAATTGCCTGTCATACTCGAGGAAAAGTGGACAGGATACAATAATTGTAAAATTTCAAAGACGGTCTATAAATCTATGGTATGTTAAATACATTTAGCCTTTGTTCTTTTTATTTTCCGCGGGTAAGCATAATAGACTGATAATTAGACTTTGAGTGTCGGCAAGACAGAGTTTATTTTATACAACTAATGAACTGTGTGTAATTTAAGTGACATGATTAACATGTGAAGTAT